GTTGCTGAAAATGGGGCTCCTCGTTCCTAATCGTTGATTTATCTTTGGCTATAAACGCGCTTTAAAAAAAAAAAAGTGTATTGGATGAACCGGCTCCCTACTCCTCAGCCCTAGGCCCCGCCGTGGTCCAAGGCTCCGGTTTCCCGCACAGGCAGCTTCAAGGGCTGGAGAGGGGGTGTTCCCCCCACCCCGTGTTCAGAGAGGCAGCCTAGTAACTGCTTCCCACTCTGGCCTGAGGGTACACGTGGAGGCTGTGAGGTAGCGCCCATGGATGAAGGACCAGCCTTGCGTTCAGCTTCTGGGTTCCTAGCAACTCGGGGCATCGCGGGGAGAGTTGCCTCCACGTGCACCTGCAGGAAGCCGCGCCTCTGAGAGTCGCCAGCAGGAGGCGAGCGGCTGCTGCCCGTCGGGGTCGGCAGCACCGCCACCCGCTGGCCGCGCGGTGAATTGAGGCTGCGCGGGCCCTGCGCTCCCAGCGTCCCGGGGGTTGGCAGGGCTCTTCCTTCAGAAAGTACCTGAACTTTCCCCGGGAAGTCTGAGCCGCCCTGTGCCAGGAGTTCACAGGGGGTCCTCCTCTGTTCCGCCCTCGGCTGCTCCGCCCTGCTTTAGCTCCGGGTGTGAAGACGCTCTACCCTCCGTAAGGCGAGGACCCCTTCAGGACTTCCATTTTCCAGAAGTATTCTTGGTGTTCTTGCTTTTTAAAATTTATTTTATTCAAGTATAGTTGATTCACAATGTTGTAGTTGATTTTATAATGTTGTAGTTGATTTACAGTGTTGTGTTAATTTCTTTCTTCTTTTTTTTTTTTTTTTGGTGGGGGGAGGCCTCTCAATGCAGCATGTGGGATCTTAGTTCCGCAGCCAGGGATTGATCCTATGCCCTCTGCATTGGAAGCATGGAGTCTTAACCACTAGACCATCAGGGAAGTCCCTGTTCTTGCTTTTTAATGTATTAATTTTATCTACCTTTTGAAAAGGTTATTGAAGTATGATTTTTAAAGTGAAATGCTTCCATTTCTAGAGTACAGTCGGATGAGTCAACAAATGTATCGCTGAAACGTCCCCAGCCGCTCCTCCCTGCCCCATCCACTCACTGGAGTCTCATTGTTTCTGGATTTCACGTAAATGGAATCCTGCTGTCCATCCCCTTGCATGTCAGGCTTGTTCTCTCAGCATAAGGAGGTCCAGATCCTTCCAGGGTGCTGCTCCTTTCAGCAGTTCACTGCCTTGTACCCCCCAAGCAGCACCTAACCCACCACTCAGCTTGTGCTTCCTTCCCTGCTGGTGGACGCTGGGCGGGGTTTGCCTGGTGGATGAGCTGCTACCAGCAAGCATATTCAGGGCTATGTGTTTCTGTGCTTCCAGTTATCTTAACTGAAGACCTGGGTGCAGTGGAGTTTAGGGGATGTGGGGTATGGAATATGACTGACACTGTCATATCTGCCAGATCATTTTCCTAAGTGGCTCTTGTATAGTTTACATATTTTATATTTCACCAGCAAGGTGTGAAACCTCCAGTTGCTCTACCTCCTGGTTAACACTAGGGATTTCTAGTCTTTTTAATGTGTATTTATTTCTTTGGCTGTGCTGGGTCTTAGTTGTGGCACACAGGATCTTTGTTGCATAGTGTGGGATCCTTAGTTGCGGCATTCAAACTCTTAGTTGGGGCACACAAACTCTTAGTTGCTACAGCATGTGGGATCTAGTTCCCTGCCCATGGATTGAACTAGGGGCCCATGCCCTGGGAGCACTGGGCCACCAGTTCAGTTCAGTTCAGTTCAGTTGCTCAGTCCTGTCTGACTCTTTGTGACCCCATGAACCGCAACACACCAGGCCTCCCTGTCCATCACCAACTCCTGGAGTCCACCCAAACCCATGTCCATTGAGTTGGTGATGCCATCCAACCATCTCATCCTCTGTCGTCCCCTTCTCCTCCTGCCCTCAGTCTTTCCCAGCATCAGGGTCTTTTCAAATGAGTCAGCTCTTCGCATCAGGAACGTCCCTATTTTGGTCTTTATAAAGCTAACAATTATACTCCAATAAAAAGAATAAAAGAAAAAAATAAAGATAGTGAGTGGGTAGTGATGCCCCATTGTGTGTGTCCTGGTTTTTATTTGGAAAATAATTTAAGATCTCAGAAAAGTTGAGAAATTAGTAGAGAGAGTTCCCATATAACCTCCACCTAGGTTCTCCTGGGCTTCCCTGGTGGCTCAGATGGTAAAGAATTCACCTGCAATGCAAGAGACATAGGTTCAATCCCTGGGTCAGGAAGATTCCCCGGAGAAGGAAATGGCAACCAACTCCAGTATTCTTGCCTGGAAAACTCCATGGACAGAGGAACCTGGCAGGCTACAGTCCACAGGGTCGCAAAGAGTTGGACATGACTGAACAACCGAACACCACCACCAGATTCTCCTAATGCTCGCAACTAACACAACCATACAAGATTCTGAAAAGCAGGCAGCTGATGAACATAGCACTGGTCACTACAAGACTTACTCAGGTGTGTGTGGCTTTCCCATAATGCCCTTTGCCCCGGACCCACATGGCCTTTGGTCGTCATGACCCTGTGTCCATTCCAGTCAGTCCTGGATATTCAGGGTTTACCTGTTGCCCGTGACCTTGACACTTCTGAAGTTATTTTGTTGATTTCCCCTTAACTTGGACATGTCTAATGTTTTCTCCAGATTACAATGAGCTCATACATTTTGGCAAGAAGTGCTGTGTCCTTGGGCATCATAATGGGGATAACACAGCATCCATCTGTCTCTTGGCCAGCAACATTCACCTTGATATCATGGTAAGGTGGATTTCTCTGCGGTAAAGTCACTATAATCAATAAATATCCAGTAGGAAGCTACTTAGAGACTCTGACAACATCCTCTTTCTCATCACACATCCTCATCATTGATTTCAGCATCTACGCATGGGCCTTGTCTACAGTTCTCACTGTTGTGGAGCCCCCTACCAAGATCACAGGTGTGAAGCTTTGTACCAAGGTCACAAGTGTGGAGCCCTGCACCAAGGTCATCTCCAGAACTGACTGAACCCCAGAGCAACCGTTGCCATGAGCCGCTTGGATCTAAACCAGCCAGTTCTCAAGCCCCATATTAGGTAAAAAATACCTGCCCTAACTGTTAGGTAGTTAGTTAGAGTAGGAAAAAGCAATACAAAATGGCGGTGGCAAAAAGACAAAGAAGGGAAAAGCCCACGAAAATAGAACAAAGGAATGTCCCAGGACCAGAGTGAGGACCTCAGGTAAAACAAACCTCACTCCTGGCTAGCCCAATTTACATAGGGCAGACTCAGGGGGAGGAGACAAATGTATAAAAGGAAGAAGCCTAGAAGGACTGGGGGCTTCTCTTCTCTTCACATCTTTCGAGTCAGCCTGTCCTCACGCCTCAAGGATATATTTTCCTTTGCTTTCTAAATAAAAAGCTGTAACATGGAGCTATAACACTGGTCTGTCTGAGGAAATTACATGGGGCTGTAACACAGGTCCATCCGTCACTTCAAATTTTTGCTGTGTTGAGACAGAACCGAGGAAATATACATTCCCCCAACGCTAACCAGTCACCTAATGCCAGCCTTCCAGCAGGAATGTTTTCTGTCTTGAGACTATAAAAATTGGCTACTAGCCCAGGGAAGGGCTTGGCTCTCCCTTGAGCCTGCCTGCAGTTTTAACAGTGGGCTCTCCCTGGTCTGTCAGGGGGTTGGCCTGCTGTGCTTGAAGTGCCCTCATCATCTCCACTCTTTGTTCTGAATAAACTCACTCCTTTCTGAAATACTCTATGTCTGGAAATTCTTTTCCACCTTGAGCTCAGACCAGGACAACTATGCTCTTTGTCTACTGGTGTTTTCTTTTTCTTTCATTCTTTCTGTATTTATTAGAGTTTTCCAGGTAGGGGCTTCCCTGGTGGCTCATATGGTAAAGAATCTGCCTGAAATGTGGGAGACCTGGGTTCGATCCCTGGGTTGGGAAGATCCCCTGGAGAAGGAAACGGCTACCCTCTCCAGTATTCTTGCCTGGAGAATTCCTCGGAGGAGGCTGACAGTCTATAGTCCATGGGGTGGCCAAAGAGTCGGACCTGACTGAGAAACTTTCACTTCACTTCACTTCCAGGTAAGGAAGAGCTGTGTCTTCTCCCCCACTAACTTATTTATTCCTTATAGCAATATGGAATCTTACACATTTAACTTGTTCTATGAGTTATAGTACTTATTTTATCATTATTTATTGTATTGCTCAGATTGACCTTTGCCCTTTGGGAGCTATTTCAATTGGCTCCTATGTCCTTTCGACAGACCTCCATTATTTGTTTTTAATTTAGGTGAAATTCACACAACATAAAATTAACTGTTTTCATGTGTATCATTCAGTGGCATTTCTCTCATTCACAATAATTTGCTACTGGTTACCACCAGTAACTAGTTCCCATACCACCAGTAACTAGTTCCCAAATGTCATCACGCCAAAAGGAGACCCCACAGCTGTTAGCATTTTCCAATCATTCTCCCTCTTGGTCCCTGGATTTATCTGTTCTAGATATTTCATTTCGTGTAAACAGGATCATCAGTGTATGATATTTAGTGTCTGGTTATTTCACTGAGACTGCTGTTAGAGGTTCCTCCTGTAACCTGTGTCAGGCTGCATCCCTCTGTGGCTGAGTAACACTCCTTGGATGGAGGCATTTTATCCTTCATCCTCTGATAGGTGTTTTGGTTGCTGCCACCTTTTGGTTTTTGTGAGTGTGTAGCTGTGAACATGTGCACAGTTGTGTGTTTGGGTACCCATTTTCAACTGAGTATTTACCTAGGAGTGGAACTGCTGGTCGTTCTATGTTTAAGTGTTTACAACATCAACTGCGCCATATTGCGTTCCCACCAGCAATGTACAAGGGTGCCAATTTTGTCGACTCCTCACCAATGCTTGTTATTATTTCTTTTTAAAAAGTATACTTATCCTAGTAGGTATGAAGTGTTGCCTAAATAATTTTTTTTTGTATTGAATTAAAATTTATTGTAAAAGGCAGAGTTTTATATATCCTTTTAAAAAATGAAAATTCAAAAGTCTTAGAGTTAAGCAATGAGGCTTCAACATTATAAAGCTATTTATAATAGTAATTAAAGTAGTGGTAACATTTTACCCTTATAAAAATGTCACAGCATTCAAATCACAACTTGGATCCTCAATGATTCAAGCGTATGATCTTATACAGTAAGGGTTTGGTCAGTTTTAAAGATAAAATTCCTCCAGATATGCTGTCCTCAAGTCCTCTACCATCACCATCCATCAGCTCACACAGTGGGATAGCTGGCTGCTGTGGCAATTCCACAATGGTTGTTCTGGTCTTTGGCCATTTTTACGTAGCCATTCCAGCCCCATTCTGGACCCCAGCTGTTCTTGACAATCCAAAATTTATTGTTATTTGAATCTGTTCCTTCAAAGCCATAGCCAACCACCAAAACACCATGATCCAGGTCTTTGCTGCTGCAGTCTGGATCATAATAAATACCTGATTTATAGAACTGGAAGGATGCATGGCCTGCATCAATAGCAACAGCGATGGGACCCACAGTTGCCACTGCCTTCATAAGGGCCTTCTCCCGCTGAGGGATGTCAACGAAGCCAGTGTCATTGGCAGCAGAACACTCAGGCTTATAGTTACAGCTATTTGTGTCCGTTGCAAGATATGGATAAGATTCCTCTGAGTCCAGGCCTCCGTTGTCCTTAATATACTGGAAGGCATTATCCATGAGGCCACCATTGCAACCCTGATTGCCTTGAGGCTGAGAGCAGTCCACCAGGTTCTGCTCACTCAGCGAAACAAGTTTGCCAGTTTTCCGGAACATCTGTCCTTCAAGAGCACCGGTGGCACTAAATGCCCAACAAGAACCACACTGACCCTGATTCTTCACAGGAGTTACATAGCCTTTCTTAGTCCAATCCACAGATTTGGGGACATCAATAAGGAGAGGTTCACGGAACACTTTCCCCTTCTTATGCTTCTGATTTTGAAAACCATTCATCACCTGCCTAAATTCTTCATTGGTCATGTCACCAAAGGCATTCATTGCCATGGTGAAGCCATGTTTCCCTTGGCTGTATTCCTGATTATGCAGGTCAATTATTTTCTTATTCCTTTCCCACACTGCTCTCCTCCATCCTTCTTCATTCTGCGGCTTCCAAAGCTGCGCAGGCGCACTCCACGGTCGCACGTATCTCTCCGAAGGTCGCCGAGGTCCGAGGTGCTCTGCCTAAATAATTTTATTTATTATTTATTAATTTATTATTTTTGGCTGCCTTGGGTGTTTCTTGTTGCATATGGGTTTTCTCTAGTAGCAGCGAATGACAAATACTCTCTAGTTGCAGAGTGCAGGCTTCTCCTTGAGGTGGCGTCTCTTGGTATGGAGCAGGGGCTCAGCAGTTATGGCACAGGGGCTTAGTTGCCCCTTGGCATGTGGGATCCCATTTCTGTGTCCATGGATTGAACCCATGTCCCCTGCATTTGCAGGCAGATTCTTAACCACTGGACCACCAGGGAAGTCTTTGCATTTCTGTAATTACTAATGATGTTGAAAATCTTTTCACATGCTTCTGCCCACCTGTATGTCTTCTTTGGGAAATTGTCTTTGTAGTCTAGTCCTCTATTCATTTTTCAGTTGGGTTGTTTGTCTTTCTGTTAGGTAAGAGTTCTGTATGTATTCTGAATATTAGACCCTTAGAAATGTGATTTGTAAATATTTCCTCCCATTCTGTGGGTCATCTCTTCACTTTTTGGATAACATCCTTTAATACACAAAAGCATTTAATTTTGATGAAATCCAATTTACCTTTTTTTTCTTTTATTGACCATTCTTTTGGTATCATATTTAAGAATGCACTGTCAAATTCAAGTCATAGGGACTTCCCTGATAGTCTAGTGGTTAAGAATCCATCTGCCACTGCAGGGGACACAGGTTTAGTCCCTGGTCAGGGAAGATACTGCATGCCACAGAGCAACTAAAACCATGAGCCACAACTACTGAATCTGCATGCTGCAACTACTGAAGCCCATGTGCCGAGAGCCCATGCTCTGCAACAAGAGTAAACACTGCAATGAAAAGCCTGTGGACTGCAGTGAAGAGTAGCTCCTGCTCAAAACTAGAGAAAGCCTGCCTGCAGCAACAAAGACCCAGCACAGTCAAAAATAAAATAAATAAATCCTCTAAAAAATTGCAAAGTCATATACACACACTGCTATATTTTAAATAGTTAACCAAAAAGACCAACTATATAGCACAGGGAACTCTCCTCAGTATTATGTAACAACCTAAATGGGAAAAGAACTTGAAAAAGAATAAGATACATATTTAGGTATAACTAAATCACTTTGCTGTACATATGAAACTAACAACATTGTTAATCAACTATACTCCAGTATAAAATAAAAAGTTCAGAAAATGATAGAAAATTCAAGATCATGAAAACTTATCCTATATGTTCTTCTTAGAGTTTTATAGTGTTAGGTCTTACATTTAGGCCATTAGTCTATTCTAATTTTTGTAGGTGGTGGGAAGTTAAGGTCCAACTTCATTCTTTTGCATGTGGCTAGCCAGTTGTCTGGCTTCTCAGGTAGCTCATAAAGAATCTGCTTGCTAAGCAGGAGGTGTGCGTACAATCCCGGAGTAGGGAAGATACTCAGGAGAAGGAAATGGAAATCTGCCTGGGTCCTGCCCCGGCGGAGTCCAGGGTTTCCCTTTGGATGAGCGGTGTCAGTGAAGAAAAGAAAGGAGTCGAGTCTTGGTTGAGTGCAGGATCAAGACAACTTTATTCTTTTACATCAGTGCTTATATACCCTAAAACCAATAATCCTTTAAAGAGGTTTAAGGAGGGGGGAATGATAAGATTGTACCAGGTGCATAATCATGGGTTACATCAAACAGAACTTTCCAGAACAGTCAATACCTACACAGAACTTTTAAACAATTCAATGGCAGCAGCTAGTCAACTGTGAAAAGACATCTACAAACCTTATCTTGGGAAGCTCAGCCCTGGGCGGACTTAGCTCTGGTATGTAATCCTAAGGGTCAGAGGTCTCATGAATTCCCTCCTGATCACACCCTAAGGAATCTTTTCAATCTCGTAGTGGACTCTTTATCTACTTTTGTTTATGGGATAGATAGGCCTGTTGCTAGCAGACTTGGTTTTGTGCTGGAAGGGTTTTCGTGCAGTCATGAGCATTTTAGATTCTAAATTGGCAATCATAATTCCAACAGAGCCAGAAGAGGCAGGATATCCTGTGTAATATTTTCCTTACCGCTGGCCTGTTTATTGGGACCCATGTGCCCCCAGGGACTGTGTTGCTGCCATGCAAAGGTTTCAAGGAGGGATTTTAGGTAAGAGTCAGACTAGTTTTTAGGGAACATAGAAGAACGCCAAGCATCAGAAGACGAAAGGATGAGGGCCTGGGAGTCGATGGTGGGGCGGTCCGGAGAAATCCCCGGAGATCCGGACACCTTTGCGTGCCAGCTCCTTGAACCCAGACCTTGTCACGGGTGGGGTTCCTCTCTGCCGGCTCCCGACAGAAATCCATTCCAGTATTCTTGCCTGGGAAATCCCATGGATAAAGGAACTTGGTGAGCTACAGTCCATGGTGAGCTACAGTCCATGGGGTGACAAAGAGTTGGACACAACTTATTGACTAAACAACAACAGCCAGGTGCCCAGCACCATTTGTAGAAGAGGAAGTTTTTTCTGCATTAAATGGTCCTGGAACCCTTGGTGAAAACCAATTTGCCATAGCTATATGTTATTTCCAGATACTTGGTCCTACCCCATTGATCTCTGTTATCTGTCCTAGGCTGTTTTGATCATAGTAACTTTGTAAGTTTTGAGATAAGTATGTCTTCCAATTGAAAAAGACATATTGTTTTGGATATTCAGAGGCCCTTGCAGTTATATGTGAATTTTAGGATCAATTTTTCCATTTCTGCAACAAAAAAAAAAAAAAAAAAAACCCACATATTACTAGCAGCGACAGATAGAGACAATATTGTAAAAAAAAAAAAAAAAAAAAAAGGATGAATCTTAATAGGGATATATAGACAGTTTTGGGGAGATACTGCTCCCTTACCAAAGCTTCCCAGGTGGCGCTAGTGGTAAAGAACCTGCCTGCCAATGCAGAAGATATAAGAGACTCAGGTTCAAATTCTGGGTTGGGAAGATCCCCTGGAGGAGGGCATGGCAACCCACTCCAGTATTCTTGCCTGAAGAGTCCCATGGACAGAGGAGCCTGGTGGGCTACAGTCCGTGGGGTAGCACAGAGTCAGACATGACTGAGCGACTAAGCATGAACACCCCTTTACCAATATTAAGTCCTTCAATCCACGAATGTAGAATGGATGTCTTTGCATTAATTTTGATCTTTTTTAACTTCTTTCAGCAATCATGTGTAGTTTCTGATGTTATTTACTTCCTTGGTTAAATTTGTTCATAGGTATTTTATTCTTTTGAATGTTGTTATAAATGGACCTTTTCAGGTTGCTCATCATGATTGTATAGAAATATAACCCATTTTGTGTGTTGATTTTGTGTTCTGAAATTTTGTTAAATATGCTTATTAGCTGTAGTAGTTATGGGAGAATTATTTATGACTTTTCTATGTATGAGATCAAGTCACCTGTGAACACTGATAGTTTTACTTCTGCCTTTCCAATTTGGTTGCCTTTTTTCCTTTCTTTCTTTTCTTTTTGCTTTTAATTGCTCTGGCGAGAATTTCCAATACAATATTGAACAGAAGTGGTGAGAGGGCAGTTTATCTGTTTGTATTCATATTTTAAGTTTTACTACAGAGAACAAGGAAAGGACATCTAAAAGGCCACAAGCCATTCAGAAAAGTTGGAAAGTTATTGGAAAAGAGACAGAAAAAGCAAAAATTTTCTGTTTTATCATGGGACAGAGAAAAATGTGTCATTGTGACTTTTATTAAATATTAAATCTGTTTAATTAATCCTATTTATTTATGTTCTCTTTTATATGTCTTACATTTATATTTATTAAGAATACAAAATATTATTTATGGCCAACAGATTTTTTATATAAAAAGTTAAATAATAGACAAGATAAATTAATATATCAAGAATAAAAAACATCATAAAATATTGTTATGTTTAACACATATTTTTGTTTAATTAGTTAGTCCTACTATTAATTACTACTAATGCCATGTTAATTAGTTATTGTTTAAAAATAGCATTTATGGGAATTGCCTGGTGGTCTAGTGTTTAGGACGCCCCACTAAGATCCCATAAGTCTTACACTGTGGCCTAAATAAATAAAAGTGCATTCATGTAACTGAGAAGTAAATAATATGGCCAATATTAGTTTAAAATAATATTATTTATATTAGTTTAAAATAGTTTAAAATAATATGGACAATATATAGTTTAAAAAATTCTTGTTTCTCATATTTTTATGTTAAGGTAAAACAGGTATTATACTGTATTATGTAATTATTTATTATGTATTTGGTACATATGTTGTTTTGTTTTCTTTTTTGGATTTTAGTTCCCTGACCAGGGTTTGAACCTACACGCTTGGTAGTAAATGTAAGTAGTCTTAACCACTGGACCACCAGGGAATTCCCTATATGCTGTTTTAGGTATTGCACATAGTAGGAAACGACACAGGGCTGGGTCCCTGGTTGGACAGCGAGAGGCTGGTCCTGGAGGTGGGAGCAAGCCTCAGGCACCACCTGGAGCAGACGTCTTGGGAGGTGTGCTTCCCTCTGGCCCAAGTGTGGACATGCAGGAGCCCTGAGAGAGGATCCAGGAGAGAGGATGGGAGGGGTCACCAGGGAACCCCACAAAGCTTGGGACAGACAGCAGTGCCCGCATGCGGGGACTGTGTCCCTCCTGCCCCAGGGTGCCTGCCCCTCCCAGGCAGGCAAGGTTCACTTCCCACTTCCACCCTTCTTTTGCTTCTAGAAGGAAACCTCCCAGGCTTCACATGGGGGAGAAAGGGAACTGTCTCAAGAAACAGAAAAGACGGTCAGCTCCAGGGGGTGGAGAATTCTTCACCCCTCTGGGCTCCTGGAGGTGTCCCAGGTGGTGAGCCCAGCCCACCAGTATCTGAGAACAGACTCCCCAACCTCCTTTGCCTTTGAGTAACTCCACCTGGAGCTGATCCATGTCCTTACTTTCCCAGCAGGTGGGCCAAGAAGTTCTGGCCAGGGGGATGTTGGCCATGGAGACCGCCC